GGTGTGTGTGTGGGGGGGGGCTTGGAATCCCTGGGTGAGAAGAGATGTCAGAGAAAATCAGGGGCGGGAGGTCTGGACCTGGAGCAGTACAGGTTGATTAAGATCTGTTGGGCGTGTATTGGCCGCTGTCTGTTTGACCCAGCTGGGCACGAGAGTGACCACGAGACATTCCCTACCTTATAGGAGCTTGTTTAGTTGGAGAGATAAGATGTACATCCAGGAAACAAACTGCATAATAGGACCGAGTGTGATTCAAGTAGACAAGAAGCGCAGAGGAGTCCAGAGGAGGGAGACCTGGGCTTGGGCCGGGGAGGGCGCGGGCCGGTGGAGCTAGAGGTGGCCGTGAGCGGGGTTGGGAAATTCAGATAGGAGGTGGAGGGAAGGCGTCTGAGGAAAGAGCGTGGATGAAGGCCTGGAGGGAGGGATGGAGAAGTGTGGGGAGAAGGAGGTGATGAGGTCAGCTGAGCCAGGGCCAGAGACAGGTCAGGGCTGGGGTCTCCGTGAGCTGGGGAGGCTGGTGGGGAGGCAGTGGGGGGGGAGGTTTAGAACGTGAGGAGAGGGTAGCAGGGCCAAAACGCCCAGATCCCTAGGACGGATGCTGATCCCCTCTCCTCCCTGGGAACGATTCCCCTCTCCTCAGCTGGCTACGCCAAGGACTACACCACGGGGGCCACGATGACCTTTGCTAGCGTCTTTGCCGTCCTTTTTAACGGCTGCACAGGCATCATGGCTGGGGCCAACATGTCAGGTGAGAGTCCTTGGGGGAGGGGGGCTGCCTTGCCACCTTGTGCCCCTACAGGGCACTGAGGGTTCAGGGATACAGGGCATGGTGGAGGGTTGACCTCCCTCCCTCTGCTCCCTGCCCTCCAGGGGAGCTGAAGGATCCCAGCCGGGCCATTCCTCTGGGCACGATTGTTGCCGTCGCCTATACTTTCTTCATCTACATCCTGCTTTTCTTCCTCTCCAGCTTCACCTGTGACAGGTGCCTGGGGAGGGGGTGAGCCTGGTCCTTGAGGGGGTGGAGTGGAGGCATTGTCACACCTGGATCACCAAGGGAAGCACGGGCCGGAGGCGGGGGGTGGGGGCAGATACCCAAGCTGTTGGGCGGTGTGGAGAAAATGGGGACTGTTCCTCCCACTGGGAGAGAGTTAGAGCTGCTGCCCTGGATGCGGAGGGCTGGCTACATGGTAACAGCCAACCCGAAGCCAGCATTTGCTTTGTGCCTGGTACTATTGTAAGTACTTGGTTTGGGGGTGGGGTGGGGAACAGCTTTCTAGTCCATTTGTATTTCCATAAATATTTGGCTTCTTGTGCACGTACTGTTGGGAATGTCCACTCTGTTATTAAATCCAAAGCAGCCCAACGACAACCAGTGAATGCAACTGGGCACACTTGATCTATTAATGTGGTCCTTGAGATCAGGGCTAGGGTCAGCTCAGAAGACCCAGCGCTTAACCTCAGCCAGTGTTGTGAGAACTGTTCCCACCAGGCCCCTAGGATGGATGCACATTTATTATCTGCATCCTCCTCCCTTCCTTCCCTGTAGGATCCTGTTGCAGGAGGACTATGGGTTCTTCCAAGCCATCAGCCTGTGGCCCCCACTGGTGCTGACCGGTATCTATGCCACATCGCTCTCAGCCTCCATGAGCTCCCTCATCGGCGCCTCCCGCATCCTCTACGCCCTGGCCCAGGACAACCTCTTTGGTGCGCTGTCCCCTGCCTCGTGCCCGGCTCTGAGCGCACCCTCCCGTGTCTGTCTTGGTCCCCCCCTTGGCCCAGGCTGATGTGTCTGCTGCATTTCCGTTTGCACAGGAGTGATCCTGGCGCCAGCTAAGGTTATATCCCAAGGGGGGAACCCCTGGGGAGCCGTGCTGTATTCATGGGGCCTAGTGCAGGTAAGCTTTCCTCTTCAAGCTGCCCTCACCCTCACCCTCACTGTAAGCCCCCCCCTGGTTACACTCGCGGGAACAGGAAGGGTCAGACGCGCACTGGGAGACGTGCCTGAAAAGGCAGGATGTGTTGGCGTTTGATGGGGAGCGGGGCGCGTGGATGAACGCCCAGCCTCTTGGTCCTTGTCCAGCTGGTGCTCCTGGCTGGGAAGCTGAACACGCTGGCCGCTGTGGTCACTGTCTTCTACTTGGTGGCCTATGCTGCCGTGGACCTGTCCTGCCTGAGCCTCGAGTGGGCCTCGGCCCCCAACTTCCGGTGAGCGAAGGAGATGCCTGTGTCCTCAGAGAAAGAGAGGGAGGAAATGGGAAGGCCTGGGACCAAGCGGGCAGAGGCTGGGGATGGAGTGGAGCGGCTCGCTGTGGGGGCAGCCCCAAGCCGCCTTCCTTCTGTGTCGGCCCCCAGCCCCGCCTTCAGCCTCTTCTCCTGGCACACGTGCTTGCTGGGGGTGGCCTCCTGCCTGCTCATGATGTTCCTCATCAGCCCCGGGGCCGCTGGCGGCTCCCTGCTTCTCATGGGCCTGCTTTCTGCCCTGCTCACAGCTCGAGGAGGCCCCAGCAGCTGGGGTTACGTCAGCCAGGCCCTGCTTTTCCATCAGGTGGGGGGAGCTGGGGGAGGGGGGAGGGGGAGGGGAGGGGCTGGGACGGGGACGGGAACGCCCACTCCCGGAGGAGGTTCCCGCCCAGGTGGTGAATGGGCGCCGCGCCCCAGAGCCCTTCCTCCTGTCATCTCACCTGGTCCCCAGGTGCGAAAGTACCTGCTCCGGCTGGACGTCCGGAAGGACCACGTGAAGTTCTGGCGGCCGCAGCTGCTGCTGCTGGTGGGGAACCCCCGGGGCGCGCTGCCGCTGCTGCGGTTGGCCAACCAGCTCAAGAAAGGGGGCCTCTACGTGCTGGGCCATGTCACCCTGGGAGACCTCGGTCAGTTGCCTTCCACTCTACCCCTCCGCCCCGACCTCTCTCTCCCTCCCGTTCCCAGAAGCTCTTTGTGTTCTTTGTGCCCCAGAGGCCTCGTGCTTCCTCCCAGTTGACCCTCCCTACCAGCCATACCCCTGCCCAGACCTTTCTTTTCTGCCCACGTGGACTTGGACTCTAGGAGAAAGTACGAGAATCTGGCCCACATGGGCTGCCTGCCTCCTCCGCAGACTCCCTGCCCTCGGACCCCGTGCAGCCGCAGTACGGGGCGTGGCTGAGCCTGGTGGACCGGGCCCAAGTGAAGGCCTTCGTGGACCTCACCCTCTCGCCCTCCGTGCGCCAGGGGGCTCAGCACCTGCTGCGGATCTCAGGTCTTGGTGAGCTGCTCCTCTCTGGGTGCCCTCGGCCCCCCACTCCGTGGCCCCTCTCAACCTCTGCTCCCCTCCCCCAGAGAGTCAACCACGGATTGCAAACTCCAAAAGGAACCCACAGTCTAGTACAGGCAGAACTTGGTTCTCAAAGATAAAAGTGTGTGATAAGGTCTCCGAGGTGATTCCTTAAGGACTAGAGATGGAGCAACACCGTTTGTTTGTTTTCTTTCTGACCCATGCTTGGGGCACAGGCTCTGCAGAACGTGTTGTCTTTCGGGGGGCAGTGGGGGAAGTCTTTGAGGTGGGGCTGCCCCATCAAATCTAGGGTGGATGCTTTCTAACCACCAGAGTGCAGAGAGAGGAAGACCACTGCCACCGATTTGGCCGGCAGAGGTCTTGTGATGAGTTGGTATCTCAGCTGGGCCTTGAGAGCAGCAGAGAAGTTGGGGGCCGTGTAACGTGGCTCCCAGAGACTACAAAGGAGGCCAGGGGTGTGTGGGTCTGATGCTGCCGCATGGAGTGGGACGGCCCCAGCTCCGTGACTGTGTCTTCGTGCCAAGGCCTCCAGCCCAGCTCCCCAGCTTCCTCCAAATCTCTGCTCAGCGCCTCCAGCTTTCTCAACCCCGGGACTGGCGCCTGTGCCGTCTCTGAACGCATGTTTCCTGCTCCGCTTACAATCTGGCTAAAGTTCAAGTGTTGGGACATTGCCCTGGTCGGTGTCAATCAGAGCCCTGGAAAATGCTCAGGAGGGGGTGTGACTAGTTTAATTTGCAGGATCAGTTGGAGTTCCCACCTGCCAAGGTGTTTTAGGGGTGTTATCAAGCCTTGTTAGCTAGAACCTGGAGCATCTGAGGGCTCGTCTCTCCTCAGCCCCACCTTTTGTTGGGGAGAGACCCTTGGTCTCTGGACCAAGAGACCACTCCTTTCACGCAATTCATCCTGCAGAAAATGATTCAAATAAAAAGGAAAAGGTTTCCTTTAAGTGGTTAATCCCCCAGCATGGAGAATTTGATTTACTGGCAGATTTTGAGTACACCTTTTGTCCCGTGAGAAGGGGTCTCGGAGGAGGTCTGCGGCTTCCTGTAAACTCAGCCCTGGTACATGGGAAATTATCTGATTCCATATTCGTTGTTCAGATACTAAAACCCAGGAGCTGTCAGCAGGGACTGGGGACTTTGTGGTTGGTGCACCACCAGCTTAGTGGCTCAGAGAATGGGCTCTGGTGCTGGGTACATCGTGTTCACTTGCTGGCCCCAGTGTCTATCAGCCATGGGCCTTTGGGCAAGTGACTTCACCTCTCTGGGTCTCAGGTTCCTTGTCTGTCAAAGGGGGTGAGTAATAGTCCCTACCTCAACTGTCGCTTCAAGGATCAGATGAGTTAAAACACCAAGGGCTTTCAACAGGATGGGGGCTCCAGTAGCGTGCAGATGGTGGCTCACGGGGGCCAGTGCTTTGGACATGCTGTCGTTAGGGCTTTGCAGTCATAGAAACAGATTGTGCAGCCCCAGCCCTGAGTTCTCATCCTCCCCTAGCAGGGTCTGAGCGCTGTTTCCCTGGGGATTGAGGCCATGAGCTTGACTAATCAGGGGGTCCCATCTGCCAGTGGAGTCAGACTTGTATCTCCTATCATGAAAAAGGTGTTGAAGCCCAGAGTGAATACATCCTACTGCCCCGAATGGAAATGCTTCTTAGTTACAAGAATCCTAAGGCGAACTTTGCCTGTTTAAATGGGGGAGATTAGTCATGGAGATAAATCAAATAAATGCACATGAAAGTGTTTGGGAAAACTAAAAGTCATTATGCAAATGTGCATAATGTTGCCTTAAGAGGCCAAGCATAATGCACATGTCATACCTGATGGCTGACACAAGTTGCTGTCAGCGGGTGGGAGTGGACACCTATTAGCATAGTGTGAACTCAGCCATGAGTCTGATTCCTGTGGGTTCCTTCCTGCCTACCTCAGGTGGCATGAAGCCCAACACGCTGGTCCTGGGTTTCTACGATGATGCTGCACCCCAGGACCACTTCCTGACGGACCCAGCTTTCTCTGAGCCTGCGGATGGCACCCAGGAGGGCGGGTCCCCAGCCCTGAGCACCCTGTTCCCTCCACCCCGGGCTCCAGGAAGCCCCCGGGCTCTCAGTCCCCAGGACTACGTAGCCACAGTGGCAGACGCCCTGAAGATGAACAAGAATGTGGTTCTGGCCCGGGCCTGTGGAGCCCTGCCCCCCGAGCGGCTAAGCCGGGGATCTGGAGGCACCTCTCAGCTGCATCACGTGGACGTGTGGCCCCTCAACCTGCTGCGGCCCCGGGGCGGGCCCGGCTATGTGGATGTCTGCGGCCTCTTCCTGCTGCAGATGGCAACCATCTTGGGCATGGTGCCTGCTTGGCACAGTGCCCGCCTGCGGATCTTCTTGTGCCTGGGGCCTCGCGAGGCGCCAGGGGCAGCTGAGGGGCGGCTGCGGGCATTGCTGAGCCAGCTGAGGATCCGGGCCCAGGTGCAGGAGGTGGTGTGGGGCGAGGGGTCTGCGTCGGCCCAGGAGCCTGAGGAGGAGGAAGGGGACTTCGTGAACGGCAGGCGGGGAGACGCCGAGGCAGAGGCCCTGGCATGTAGCGCCAACGCCCTGGTTCGGGCCCAGCAGGGGCGCGGCGGAGGAGGGGGGCCTGGTGGCCCTGAGGGTGGGGATGGTGAGGAGGGGCCCGCCACCGCCCTGACCTTCCTGTACCTGCCCCGGCCACCTGCTGACCCTGCTCGCTATCCTCGCTACCTGGCACTGCTGGAAATTCTGAGCCGCGATCTGGGCCCCACGCTGCTCATTCATGGCGTCACCCCTGTCACTTGCACTGATCTCTGATGCCCATTCCAAGTAGAGAGTGTCCAGGTAATCGTAATCGGGTGGCCCACCTTGATTACGGGGTGAGGAGGGGAAGGGCCGCCTTCCACCCGCCTGGCACATGGGACTCGGACCCTGGTGGAGGTATTAGGGGATCCTGGTCTCTGGCATCTCGGTCTCTGGGAGAGGGGCCCCGGTGCACTAACTAACGCAGGGCAGCTGTCCCCGCCACCACGGGGGAGGGCTCCCTCCCCCGCTGGCCTCCCTCCCTTCACCCGTGCCTTGACGGGGGCTGGGTCTCCGCTTGTGACTCTAGGCTACCTCAGTCTCCCCACCTCGCCCAACAGACTCCCGGACCACTGGGGTTTTGATGTTTTTGTTCTGTTTTATTTTTCTAACTAACAAACGTGAATAAAAGATCAAAACACTACGCGTTGGCCGGGCGTTTCTGGAGGGGGGCGGGTAGCTGGGACGGAAAGAGGGAGAAATCTGTATGGGGGATGGGGAAAGAGGGGCGCTGGAGCGTCCCAGCGGCGAGGGGGCCACGTGCGGGACCCGGGGCTCCGGGCCTGGGGGAAGCTGGTGGAGATGGAGGCTGCCCGCAGCCCCCAGACTCAGGCTCCCGAGGAAAGCCCTCCCTGCTCGCAGGAGGGGGCCAGACTCGGGGAGGGACGGCAGTTTAGGGCCTAGGGGGCCACGTGACCCTCCCCCAGGAATGCGGTGACGTCACCGGGGGCGTGGCCGTACCCAAAATTAGGGAGGAAGGGGAAAAAAAAAGCCAGAAAAAGTTTCTTTCCTGGAGTCCCAAGCGAGGTGTGGGACAGAAGGGATCAAAGTCAGAGGCCCGGGGCTCCGTGGGGCCCTGACCGTTGTCTGGAGTCCCCCTTTCCAGGCCATGTCCGGGCCCACCTGGCTCACCCCGAAGCAGCCGGAGCCTGCCAGAGCCCCTCAGGGGAGAGGGCTCCCCCGAGGCGCCTCGGGGCCGCCGGCGGCCCACGGAGCAGGTAAGGCAGCCCAGTGCGGCCGAGGAGGCCACCGGGCCACCAGCGCTCACCTCTGTCCTGTGGCTCCTGCCTCCCGCTGAGCCCGCTACTGCCGCCCCTTCCCAAGCCCGGCTGGACCTCGCCGCCCCTGCCCCCTCGCGGCCCTCCCTGCCTCCTGCCCCATCCGCGGACCCCAGGTGCGGGGGTGGGGGCGTGGGGGAGGGGAGAAGAGAGACCCAAGACGGCGGCGTCCACAAGTGTCACCCTCTCCTTCCCCAACCCCACCTTCACTCTCTCTTCCCTCAACCCAGCACTCCAGCCCCACCCCAGGGTCAATTTTTGCCCCCTCCCATCTGAGCAGTGTTACCAGGCCCCTGGGGGACCGGAGGATCGGGGGCTGGCCTGGGTGGGGTGCCATGGAGCACCCCAGCGCTCGCAGGTGAGCACGGGGATTGAGGGGTGGGGGGGCTTAGGGCAGGAGAGGAGACCGTGTGATTTGCTTTCTCCCTGCTTTTGCTCCATCCCCAGGGGCTCCCCGCAGACAGGGGGGGCTTGCGCCCAGGAAGTCTGGATGCTGAGATAGATTCCCTGACCAGCATGCTGGCTGAGTTGGACGGGGGTCGAGGTCACGCCCCAAGGCGGCCTGACCGGCAGGTGACTCCCCTGTCCTGCCCCTGTCCCTTCCGGTCCTTGTCCCGTGCTCCTCCCCCTCCCCCCCACCCCAAGCCTGGTCCCTACTCTGAATTCTCACCCGCTCTCGCCCTCTGTGTGAGTGATGCCCACACCAGCGTGGAGGAAGCTGGGTCAGCAAGGCTCACTAGGTTGTCAACCACTTGAGGGAGGCTCCTTGTCAAAACCAGTGCTTGCCTGGGTGCCACATGGGGTAGGGGGTTCTATAGATGTGTGTTCTAGAATGGGCCCAGCTCACTCCTTCTGGTCTGCGTTTCTCCCCAGGCTTACGAGCCCCCTCAGCCCCCTGCCTACCGCTCAGGCTCAGGCTCCCTGAAGCCGAATGGAGGGGGTGTTCCTCCCCCGCCGCTCCCAGCATCCCCCTATGGGGGCCCCACTCCAGCCTCCTATGCTACGGCCAGCACCCCCGCCGGCCCTGCCTTCCCTGTGCAAGTGAAGGTGGCACAACCAGTGAGGGGCTGTGGCCCCCCCAGGCGGGGGGCCTCTCAGGCCTCTGGGCCCCTCCCGGGGCCCCACTTTCCTCTCCCAGGCCGAGGTGAAGTCTGGGGGGCTGGCTATAGGAGCCACCGCGAGCCAGGGCCGGGGGGCAAAGAAGAGGCTGCTGGGGTCTCCGGCTCTGCTGGAGGAAGAGGAGGCGGGTACGGGTCCCAGGTAAGCCCCTGGGCACTGGGATTTGGGGTCCTCAAAGACAACTGGATGCTGACCACATGGGGTGTGGGTGGAGTTTCACGTCCCGGTTGTCAGAGGTCTGGGGCGCTGGAGCTCTGGATCCTCTGGGGGTGGGGGCAGGTCAGGAAATAAAGGAGGAGGGGGTCTAGATCTGCACACTGGCTCCTGCAGGGGCACCCCTGGCCCCTGAGCTGGGATGTTCTCCGATGAACTCTCTGTAGAATTGCCCGGTCACCCTAAGTGACAGCATCAGGAGCTAGAGGTAGGGCCAAGCCCCTGATTCTCACCTCCCAGGTCCCCCTGAGCCAGCCTCCCGAGGAGGAGCTTGAGAGGCTGACCAAGAAGCTGGTGCACGACATGAACCACCCACCCAGCGGGGAGTACTTCGGTGGGTGAGCTGACCCCGGGTGGGGCGGGAAAGGGGAGATGGGGCTGGAGAGTCAGAAGGCCCGTGGATCCAGCTTCCCGGCCTGTGCAGATTGACCCTGTCCCTCCCCGCCCCCAGGCCGGTGTGGTGGCTGCGGAGAAGATGTGGTCGGGGATGGGGCCGGGGTCGTGGCCCTGGACCGCGTCTTTCACGTTGGCTGCTTTGTTTGTTCTACGTGCCGGGCCCAGCTCCGGGGCCAGCATTTCTATGCCGTGGAGAGGAGGGCATATTGTGAGAGCTGCTATGTGGTGAGTGGTTGGGGCTGGGGGCAGGGGGAGGTTTCCAGTCTGAGATGGGAACTCGATATCCAAGCCCCAGAGAGGAATAGGGCTTGAAGCAGGGGGACTAAAACTGATACACAAGAGGAGATGAATGAAGTCAGTAGCAATACACGGGCTGCTAGAGAGGAAGGATGATATTCCCTCATACGTGTGAGGCATTTATTTTATTTTAAATTAAAGATTCTTTTGGCTGCATCGGGTCTTAGTTGCGGCACATGGGATCTTTCGTTGTGGCACACGGGCTCTTCGTTGTGCGCGGGTTTTCTCTCCTCCAATTGTGGCTCTCGGGCTCCAGGGCACGTGGGCTCTGTAGTTTGCAGCACGCAGGCTCTCTAGTTGTGGCGCATGGGCTTAGTTGCCCCACGGCATGTGGGACCTTAGGTCCCCGACCAGGGATCGAACCCGCGTCCCCTGTATTGGAAGGCGGATTCTTAACCACTGGCCCACCAGGGAAGTCCCGAGGCATTTATTTTAGATTTAAGGGAATGTGAGGCAGATATTACTACTGAAGGAAACTGAAGCTCAGGGAGGTTAAATAATTTATCCAGGAAGCTGCAGTGCTGGGGCTTGCACTCAGATCTGTTCAAGGCCACCTTTCACTGAATCACATGCAGGGGGCTACAGAAACAGATGGGTAGGCTGGCAGGATGCCTGTAAGGGCTGCTGTGGGTGTCCCCAGCCCCCGACCTTCCTGCCCTCCTTCCCGACAGGCCACACTGGAGAAGTGCTCCACGTGCTCCCAGCCCATCCTGGACCGGATTCTGCGGGCTATGGGGAAGGCCTACCACCCTGGCTGCTTCACCTGTGTGGTGTGCCACCGTGGCCTCGACGGCATCCCTTTCACTGTGGATGCCACCAGCCAGATCCACTGCATTGAGGACTTCCACAGGTCAGCGGGGTTCCCACCTTTTGTCTCAGGATGTCTGGCCTGGCCTTTCCCACCTTCCTCATCTCTCCTTCATATATCCCGGTACCAGCCGCTCCTGTTTCACACCCCTGGCCATGCCTCCTTCTCATTAAAATCACTCCCTTTCCCTAAGATCCAAGACCCTACCTACCTCTGGCCTCTCCCGTTCCTTCCTGCATCCCACCTTCTCTGGGCTCTGTTGTTAGTTCCCTCTAACCCTGGGGCTTGACAGCCTCCTTGGTTCCCTTCCACCCCAGGAAGTTTGCCCCAAGATGCTCAGTGTGTGGTGGGGCCATCATGCCTGAGCCAGGTCAGGAGGAGACCGTGCGAATCGTAGCTCTGGATCGCAGTTTTCACATTGGCTGTTACAAGTGTGAGGTAGGAGGGCTGGGCAAGGGAAAAAGGGTTATTGGGGTCTGGGGTGCTGAGCACGAGGGAGAAAGAACTCAGGAGTCCGGGCCTGATGGAAAGCTGTTGCTTCTTTCCGAACAGGAGTGTGGGCTGCTGCTCTCGTCTGAGGGTGAGTGTCAGGGCTGCTACCCGCTGGATGGGCACATCTTGTGCAAGGCTTGCAGTGCCTGGCGCATCCAGGAGCTCTCAGCCACCGTCACCACCGACTGCTGAGTCTCCCCAGGAGCACCTGCTGTGTTCTCCTTTCCCATCAATCACCCTCCCCGACATCTACCTTTATAACTTTGTCACCAAATGTTGTCTCCTCTTCCTCCCATCATGAAATAATAATCTCTCGAGAGTTTGTAAAACACTTTGAAGTCTTGTTTTCTCATCTGATTCTCACAGCAGAACAACACAAGCACGGTTGTTGTGACTGCCTGCGTTTTTGCCTAAGAATTGACTTCCTGGGACTTCCCTGGTGGTCCAGTGGTTAGGACTCTGAGCTTCCACTGCAGGGGGCACAGGTTTGATCCCTGGTCTGGGAACTAAGATTCCCTCATGCTGAGCAGCACGACCAAAAAAAACCCCCCAAAAACAAAAAGTGACTTCTTCAGCTTACATCGATCGCTCCCAAGTGGCAGAACCAAGTTCAGAAGGGTCTTCTTAGTCCT